ACCCTGCCCTTTTAGTCCTTGATAAGGAAAACAAGCATTGCCTTGGCTGCAGAAGGCTTGCTTGGACCTGGTCCATCCCGACAGTCACAATTCTCCAGGGCTTCCAACTTGCCACTCTAGATTCTTTGCAGCTGAAGAAGTTACTGATAGAACTGGAGAGCTTTCAGCCTGCAAAATGCCATGAAACAATGCATTCAATCTTGCCTTTGTGTCCAGATGCATCTGTGGGTAATAAATACACACCTATTCTGAAATTATTGGTAAACTGACACATCAGGGTGCATAGCACTTTGCAAAGAATAACACTGCCTTGAGACTCTTTGCCAGGGGTCTTCAAACTTGGCCCTTTTATGACTTGTGGACTGGCTGAGGAATTCTGGGAGTTGAAGTCCACAAGTCATAAAAGGGCCAAGTTTGAAGACCCTGGCAAAGAGCCTCAAGGCAGTGTTATTCTTTGCAAAGTGCTATGCACCCTGATGTGTCAGTTTACCAATTCTTTGCAGTCTCAACTTTGGTCCAGGTGAGATGACAGAAATCAAAATGGTGAAAATTAGAAAGCACTAACCAAGCTGGTGAAGAGGCATGGGAATCAAGTCTTAGTTACAGGCTCAGTTATAAGAAATTAGGAAGGACATTAGTGCCAAATTCTTCACTGAAAATGTGCATTTTGAGAAGCCATTTGTAGCATATGTAGGAGGTAATCTAGCAAGTATTCTGGGAGGCTGTTTCAAGTAAGGGAGAGAAAAGAAGAAAGGAAGAAGCTGTTTGAAAGAGTAGAAAACCTTGGATGGTGGTATTAAAAAAATAAAGTTCATAAGCTGGAGCATATTTGGTTGGTGGAAAGAGAAGAACTAGTAGGTCAATGCATTTGTGGGTAATAAAATACAAACCTATTCTGAAATTGTTGGTAAACTAACAACCTGTTTGCTGTTCACTCCGGTGGGTTGTATGGTGTTGACAGGAGTTCTGAGCTGTTTGGGGCATGTGTGAAACCAACTGCTTGGAACTAGATGTACTTCTCTGTGCATGGGAACCATTTTGCATTTATTTCTTAGACCTGCTAATTCAGAGATTGAATTGTTCTGGGATGTTGCGTTTCTCTCCTGATTTTTTAAATATATTTAATTGCAATTAAAAATTTACCACCAGCCCTAACTCAGGAAGTGCATGCATTAAGGGATGATAGAAATCGAGAAGACATTGAAAATTGGCATCACAATATGTTCATCAATATTTGTGGTGGGATGCAGTAAATGTTCAATTTGCTTCCAGATAGTCCTATCAAAGCAAGTTTGCTTAGTTTAAGGGTGGTGAAAACCACTGCAGTGAAGAGACATAAAAGAAACTGATAGATGCACAGCGTTGACAGTAACCAGAGTATTTTCCCCCCAACTAAGACAATGCAAGAATTCAGGGTCTGGTAATGAGTTGAGTAGTGGAAGATGATATACATCTTCACTCATCACATAGTTACAAAAAAACAGATTACACTGACTTGTCTTCACTTAACATACAGTAAAACGTCTACTACAAGGCAGTGTTGATGGCCATTAAATAACTATCACAGTGGTAGCAATTAGTCATGACAATAAATAAAATAAAATAAAATGAAATAGATATTCTAGGAGTTGGAGTGGCATAGTGATCTAGAGGCAAAGACTCTCGCCTCCCACTCGGAAGGTTGAGAGTTCGATCCTAGGCAACAACAGATGTTTCTCTATAACAGTGGTTCTCAACCTGTGGGTCGGGACCCCATTTGGGGTCGATCGACCATTTCACGGGGGTCGCCAAGCAAGGCTGTCCGCCATTTTTTTGTCCGCCATTTTTTTTGTCCGCCATTTTTCCCCCTTTTCCGGTGGATGCCTTACCTCCCTTGGGCTGGGCCAGCTGGTGGTCGGCCTGTTCCGTCTCTGCCGCTTGCCAAGCTACGCCTCGGCCGGCACAGGGGGCGGAACCGCGCATGCGCGGCGCTCCCGGACAGGGAAAGTCCTCGACTTACGACCAGTTGGGTAGTCCTCGACTTACGACCGGTTCAGTCCTCAACTTACGACTGGTTTAGTCCTCGACTTACGACCGGTTGGGGTCGCGGCATTAACAAGGTTGAGAACCACTGCTCTATAAGGACACAAAGAGAAAATATCTGCTGCGAACTTTGCATAGGTGTCAGAAAGGGCATCTGGCCAGTAAACACTCAGCTCCATTCAGTCACCCTGACCCAAAGCAAGGGATTATAAGGTCACAAAAAGAAAAAATTATTTCAGGAGGTGTTGTTTTTTTTTTTTAAAAAAAAGAGGAAATGGTGGGAAGGTTCCAAATTACCCACCTTTTGTATTTGATGGTGCCCTGCTCTGATCCAGCAAGCTTTTGATGGCCCTACTCTTCTTGTGATTCTGTTTCAATTTCTGTTGTGAGAAGGCGTTAAGTGCTCTCAGAGTTTGTTACTGTGTTGTATAATAGTTTGCCAACCCAGTGCTGTTGTTTTTCAGGGTGGCCCTAAATCATCCTTTCTTACAGCGGAAAAAAGAGCCAGGCTAAAAACAAATCCTGTTAAAGTCCATTTTGCGGAAGAAGTTGCTGTGAATGGACATAATCAGGTTTGTGCCATTGCTATTGCCAAGCCATATGGATAGTTGGCTTTAAAATTTGACAGGTAGACCAAATTACATATTAAGCTAACTGCACTGCTGAGAGTGAGCATGAAACAAAGATGACTTGGCCTTTTCACAGCTGTTATCCCCTCCAACCTAAATATATTTGCACTTTGTCAGATAGATAGATCGATCCATATGCTCAAGGTCATTTGAACCAAGTAGGCTACCACTGAAAAATAAGCAAAAATCTCTCTTGCTGCTAGAAGGAAAAGTCTTGTTAACTTCAGTAAATGTGCTGAAGTCAAATTGTCCTTAGTATTCTTGGAAAAATAAATGGAATGGAATGATAAGGTTATAGCAGAGGCAATGGGAGAGTCAAAAATGTCAAAATGGTAGCCATGATCATGAAGCTTCAGGATTTTTTTTATATGCATACTTCAGTTGTGCAATTGCAGAGGCCATCTTAAATTTTTGTAACCGCTCTTGAATTTTTCTGTGTGGACATATTTTTATGTACACTATTTCTCCTGCTGGAGTATTAACAAACAATGTAATTGCAAAATTGTTAATCTAAAAAGTAGGGATCACCTGCATTCCTCCAAGTTTTGTTAAACTATAGTTTCCAGAACCTCATATTATTGGCTAAGTTGACTGCTTTCCTGGGAATTCAGAAATAGTCAAGAGGCTCAAGTTGCCCATTTTTGCATGGGGTATTAAACAAAATCCTATTTTTTTCCAATCCTTTTCTGTTTACAAACGTGTGAACATTTTGCTACAGTTTATACCTGGCAGAGATGAAGAAAACCTTCCATTTTGCTTTTGCCTAGTTTCCCTTTTTTCAGTTATGTTGATCTCAGTTTGAAGTTTTTTGTTTTGTTTTAAAAGTCCTCACAAACATTCCGGCCCAGTTTTGTGCGCACCTTCTGGTAATAAACACAGCATGTTTCTAGTTCACATATTTTATCTGTCCTTTTCTTTAATGCAATCCATTTTCATGTATCATGTCCACTGATACAATGCACTTTTCTTCAAAACATTTAATATGCATATTTTAAATTTGAAAGCTGCATGGAAAAATTCAAATATTGCGTGAATATTACTGCAGTTCCAATTGCATGTTTCTTGGAAAATGTGAAATCAGTAGTTTTACATTACGATGCAAAAACCAGACCTCTTGATCTCCAAGTTCTACTCACATTGCTTGCAGTCTAGCCTTTTTTCTTCGGCTCAGTCAAGGATTATAAGCTCATGGATATATAATAGTAGGCATTGTTTTATATATAGGGATCTCTCTAAGTCCATCCACTCTATCCATGTAGGAAGATAACTTTCCCAGATAGTTTACAGTACTTTTCCAATCGGCACAACGACCTTCGTAGGAGGGCCTATCACAGTAGTAATTTTAAATGGAATATTACAGCTGAAGTAAGATTTTTTTGGAAAAATCCCAGAAGTGCTTTCACAGTGTTGGCCTGAAGGCATAAATTGTTGATGAGAGGAAATGCTTTTAAACCTTACTTTTCCAGGGTAAGTCTTGTGGCAATCCTCTGCATGGGTCATCTGAGGAATCTGGCTATGTAAATGATGATCTCCCCTCAATTCTGCTATGCTGCCTCATCATGGGAGGGGGGGGAGGAGGTTTTTCCTGGGAGGAATGAGCAAAGAATGCTGGGAGAATAGTATATCACTCCAGCAGGGTCACCAAGGTCATCTCAGATGTCCAGCTAAAGCAAGCAAGCACTTTTATCAGCCAGCAGCAATATAGAAAGATGTTGAACGGGGATACCTGCATTAATTCATAGTGTATGGGAGAAAACAAAGATGAATCACTTCCATATTTTGCCAAGAAAACCCCATGACTAGACAAGATAAAGTGATTGATTATATAGTATTGAATGATGGGCCTCTTGGGTCAAATGGCACCCAACAGGCTACTGAGGAAGAGCTGATTGTGTTTGCCACATGGCTGGAGTAAAGCCCTTTGAGAGTTGCTGTGCAAGCAAAGAAAATCTAAAGCTACAAAGGCAAAATTACTGCGGGAACAAGGAATAAGTTCAATGCTAGTGAAAGATAAATCAATTACACATTGATATCTTTTAGGACTGGAATTTCAGTCAGAAGATATGGAAGCACTGGCTAGTTTCTACCTTTTAAGATCAACTGTCAAAAGTAAAGGAACCGACAGTCCGGAAATATGACACAGACCAGCATTTGGTAGAATAGCAGCAAAGGTTTTGGTAAAAGATAGTCAAATGCTATGACATGTCTAGACCTTCAACCATTAGAATCATGCAGGGCATGCTTTTTCTGGTGACACTCTACAAAAGTGAAAGTTGGACTTTGAAGAAAAAGGATAAAAAGAATTATTGCCTTTTTTGAAAGTTGGTGTTAGAGAAGACACTTGAGAATACCAGATATAACCCCCCCCCAAAAAAAAACCCCAAATCCCACTCCAAATCTCATTTCACTGAGCTATTCCTTACTTTTTGTTTTAATTGTATCTATCCAAAATTAAAGGGCAAGGTGATAGTGCCTTAAAATTTCATGACAATTAAAAAAAAAAAGTTTTCGCTCCAGCCATTCAAGTGCCAGGAAAGACATTTCTAAATTAGGACACCACCATTTAAAAGACCAATCCTTATTCCTGGAGAAGTTCATTATTCTTTGTGAAGGAATTTTTAAAATAGAAACCTCCTTGGAGATCTTAAAAAAATACAAGATGCTGAGCAAAAGAAAAAAAAAAACCTTTGGAATTGCAAAATTACCTCCTAACTCTTATTTCGCAAGAGATATCCCTTCTTCAGAGCCTTTAAATCAATAGAATGACATTTCCCAAATTCTCTGGCCTTACTGCCAAGCAAAACGGAGCACGGCTGCAGACTTGAGAACTGACTGAATTAACTGAATTCTGCCCACATAAAACAGGAAAAAGTAATAAACTCTATTCTGGGTAAGGTAACGAGCTCTGAAATATTGGGAGGATGTCGAATCTGAAAAATCACAAAGAATTATCCTTTTTGCTATATCTCCAAAGCATGTGGCAGTGCTTTAACTTCCCCACAAGGAGGCTGCTTTATAGCACTAGAATTAAATTTAATCTTTTGATTTCTCTCACTTCTACCCGAGAGACAACAGAAAGGCAAGCAACAGGAAGGCTAATACTTGACTTAACAGCATTTATTTCCTGCTCTGCAACCTCTGGCTGGCAAGCTTGCTCTATAGATAGTAAAATAAATGCTGAACACTAAACATACAACAGCACCTCAACGTGGCAAAATGTTCTTTAAAATGTAAATGTTCCCAATCCCTGTTAAGCCTTGTAAGCTATTAAGGGACTCACAGAAAATCCCCAGAATTAAGCAAAGTTTACTTTCTGCTAAGAACTCCCTTTGTTCCTCAGTAAAGTGACTGCTGTATATTTCAGACAGAATTTGAGAGTCAAACTTATTAATTGGATGCCGCCTTTTGTGTGTTTATCTAGGGAAGTTCTCTTCTGTGTATGCCCAATGTTCTCAAAGTCTATTTAGAAAATGGACAGACTAAAGCTTTCAAGTTTGAAGCAAACACAACAGTCAAGGTATGTTTAAATATAATATAGGGATTAGATGTTGGTTTAGGAGCTCTCACTTGGCAATGGTGGCCATTGAAGGGCTGGGCCTGTGAATATTTCTCAAACTCTCCGCTATATTGTATGATGTATTATGAATAGAAATTGAATAAAAGAGGAGAGATGCCCATGTAACTCCCTTTAAACTCAGTGACGAAAGCCAGAAGATGAATACATTGCTACAGCATCTACAACAATAATGAAAAATGCATTGTGAGCAGGTAAAGTAACAAATCTGGTATATGATGGAAACTCTTGGAGCCTCATGGACCAAACAACCTATTTTAATATTTTTGTTTGTTGAAGTGTCTTAAAAATAGAATAAGAAAGCAATCAAATAGCCAACTTGCCTCATCCATAATGCTGTCTTTATTTTTTAACGCTCATAAATTTGGTTGGGACATGATCCACATTTAGCCAAGTAGCAGATTTTATTGTAGCCTATGGTTAATGCCCTTCATTGCAAATTTTATGACTACATTTTAATGTATAGTAATGCGTACTTAATGGTCAGAGAAATCAGTAGTACAAATCTTAATCCTCTATATCTCTGTGCTGGATGGTATTCCATTTTGATTCTAATCCATGTGGGTATTTCTTTTTTCAAATTGTCATCAGATTACATTGCAGTCAACAATGGGGTTTGTTGTCAGTATGCTACACTAGCCAAGATAGTGTGCCAAAGAATTCTTATGCATTTGAATGGCTTCTCCATCATGGATCAGATCTGCTGCACCTTTTGCCATGTGTACAATTATCCTTGTGAACGATTAAGGACATCATTGTGTGTTCCCAGATGATTTCTACATGTTGTTGAAATTGTGATTTTTTTTTAAACCCCACAAATGATAGGATATTATACTCACTTTGAAAGAAAAGCTGTCCATTCAAAGCATTGAACATTTTGCCTTGGTTTTGGAAGAACAGCATAATATATTGAAGATGGGTCTCCTGCATGATGATGAGCTCATTGAACGGGTGAGTTTCACTGCTTTAGGACATTTCTGTTGGTGTCGGGCAAATTAATGAAACTTTTGCCTGGAGATACTAACCAGTGCAGGGGGGTTAGAATTGCTCACTTTGGCATTTTGTTTTCTGCTTCATAATCCATAGATTGGGAGAGTATGAACTCCAATGATCAACTCCTGTCAGCTTGGCCAGCATGGCTAGTGATAACAGAAATGGGATTTATACATCAGTCACATTAATAGAACCAGAAGTCTCACACCTTCCAAAATGGAAATATGTATCCCTTCGAAATATATGACTGATGGAAAACTAGGTCTCTGATTCAGAACATTGCACGCTTGTAAACCTGTTTATATAGCAGCAGCCTTACTGAAACAATAGCAGTTTTCGTTTATTGGTTTATGGCGGTAATAAGGATTTGTTTTGATATGAATATCAGTTTCCCTGGAATCTATTTTCATGAACTCTTTTCAACACAGTGTTAACAGCTGTCAATTTGTTATTCAAAGTAAAATTTTAAACACCCTCTTAGAATTTGTATAATCTTATTACAAATGGTAGACCATAAATGTTTACTTAATACCACTTTGTTTTCTTTAAAGTACCATTGAATTGTACTTAAGTCATGCTTAAATGGATTTAATATAATTTGCTTCCCTAATGAATCTTGAAATGAAGATAATACACTGATTATCATACAAGATCTATTTCTTCAATTCTTTTTTCCAGAATGGCAAGCATTCGCCTTGTTATAATAGTAGATATTGAATGATTATTGTTAGATAGGATTTTCCATCCTTTTAGTTTCTTTGATGAGATCCACATAGATTAGGTTTCCCCAAAGATTTGGGTGATCCTAAATCCCTTCCTATCTTTGGCAGCTCTATCTGAATTTTGAAGCTGAACTGTTTTGAGCAGCTGTCCATCATTTCACCATTTGATCACAGATGCTCATTTTATCTGATTGCTTTCCTAAATTGTGTACATAGCCCAAATAAAAACCAAAATATTGGTGATTGCTGGGTAATTTTGTTACAAGAAGGAGGAATGGTGGCGATTGCACAAATTTGCAATTTATTTTGAAATATATATATATATAATTCTGCACAATTTATTCTGCTTCTACCATATCTGGGGAGGGTCAAGACGTTAGATGGGATTCTGAAGCCACATTCCACTGATCTCTCAAAACTTTATAATGGAAATTCCTCTACCTTCTGGAACTTCACTAGAAATTTCCCACACTTTTCCAAGCAGCTATACAGTATTTAATACTTTTATCTAAATATCTTAGCAAATATTCACTGGAAGCTGGTTTTTAATTAGAAGGATTTTTGTTATAGTGGTAATATGCTATAGACTCTTTATCTAGCTATCTAGCTATCATCTATCTATCATCTTGCTAACAAGCTATCTATCTATCTATCTCTATCTAATCTAATCTATCAAATCTATTGATTCTATTGAATCTATCGAATCTATCTCTTCGTTTCAGGTGGTTCAGAGGAACGAATCTCATGCTTTTCGATGCCTCTTCAGAGTCTGCTTTATGCCCAAGGATCCATTACATCTCTTGCAGCAAGATCCAGTTGCTTTTGAGTATCTCTATTTGCAGGTGAAATAGGAATGCTTTGTGGGCTTTTCCTGACTTGGTTAGGTTTCATCAATAAATAACACAAACCTAAGATGTATCATCCATAACAATGTTGGTGTCTTCACATAGCGAATACAGATGAGTATAATACTACACTGCACAACACTAATGGTAACTTTTCAAATTCTTCGAACACATTTGGAACTGTTCAAGAATTAATCTATTTCAGAAATTTTGACTTTAATTTGTACATGTATTTTATAATTACAAAGACAAACAGGAAAAAACAAAGGCCAAATTGTGTGTCCAAATATGATATACTGTATGTGCAAAAATAAGAATGGGGTAAGGATTGGATAGTAAACTAGGGCTGAAGAATGTATTTTGTGTTTCTATAGTAATTTATTTATTCACATGATACTGTAGTTTTAAAGTTAATTGTTTCAGGTTTTCCATGAGTGCAGATCTCTTTGTGAGAGTAGAAAGAGGCTTCACAAATTTAACAGGTCAGTAAGAAAAGAAAAATATCATTAAGGGTCTAGTACTGTCATTTACTGATTTAAAATTTGCATCTCAGGCTTAGAGAAAGCTAGCTTTCACTGGGGACAATCTATACTGTGAATTTTGTTAAACATTTTTCACTTCAATCTTCAATTTCCCTTGGATTCTGTTTCCACCCTATATTTTCAGTATCATCTCTTGTTCTTATGAATGAAAAACAGAAATAATCTTTAAACAACAAATTGAAAAGTCCAAGAAATTCATCAGCAGTGACTGCAATCTACCCTACTGTCAAAAAAGATAACAATATTCTAACATGTTCCTAGATGGAGGCTTACATAGAAATGTCCAGATATTACGCCTACTCAGATACACATATAGGCTGCAATCACAGATTACACTCAACTTTATAATGTGCTTGTTTTGTCTTACTGTATGAAAACGAATCACAGTTTACAGCCTACAGTAGATACTTGTTAATGTGTTGTTTGCCTAGCATAATGTTCCAGTAGGAAGTAATGGGTAGTTTATGGTTTCCAGAATTATTCATGCTTTACTTAGCTATCTAAGTCACAATGCTCTAAGTCAAAATAGGAAAGAAAGCAAATCAACAACTGGCAAGATAATAAGAATACTGTTATGTTTGAAAACAAATATAAATCTGTCTCTAACACACACCTATATATTCTATAATGTGACACGTTAAATACCCAGCTATATATATACCACAAGAGTCTTTTGGTCAGTTTCTTTCTGTCCTAATTACATAGAGAAAAAGTGGGCTCAAAATTCTGGATTGGGTTGACATGTGCATGTCATGTCCCACTTGATTTCTCATATCAACGTATGTGATGGAACACAGAATAACAGAGTTAGAAGGGACCTTGGAGATCTTCTAGTCCAACCCCCTGCTCAATAAGAAGATAACTTTCCAGACAAATGACTCTCCAATCTCTTCTTAAAAACTGAATGTGTGTTTCCAGATACAGAAGTTACAAATTCTCTGTCCAGCTAAGAAATAAATAGGGTGCATGTGTGAACCAGTCTCAAATTATACATGGCCCAAGGAAATTAATTAAACATTGGGCTTTGCAGCCAACATAATTGCCAAATGTTCTAACAGTAGAAACCACTTCATAAAATAACAGGGTTAGATTAAAGCAGTCTGGTGCAAGTATCTGTCTCTTCTCTCCCCTTGTTAACCTGGCCCTGTCCGTTGCAGAGCTGTAGTGACGTGCTTCAAGAAAGGTTTGCTGTTGAGATGAAGTGCAGTGTTGCGTTACGGCTGGCCGCCTTGCATATGCAAGAACGGATGATCACCTGCGCTCAGCCACAGAAAGTCTCACTAAAGTATATTAAGTAAGTGAAAAGGTATTCAGTTGTAAAGTTTACTTAAAACTTCTCAAGGAAAATACAGTGGATTTTTTTTTTAAAAAAATTAAGACATTAAGCCAAGGGGTTCAAAAGTGATCTGTCATATAAGTTGGACTTTTAGTTGAGTTGTTTGCATCCTTTGCTCTCCTTGGCTGTCCGCTTCTGGTGGATGAACAATGTCACTTCTGGTTCTGAAGGCTAGCAATTGCCCAAACTACATCGCAGTTTTGAACTCCAAATCCATCTTGTAACAATTATAGGATGGTGACCCCAAGTTCTGCCAGATGATCATGTTGGGGTAGGTCTTTTTCCTCTCTCTCTCTTTTTTTCTTACGCTACAGGAAGGATTGGGGAATAGAAAACTTTATTTCCCCAACTCTACTCCGAAACATGAGAGGCAAAGACATCAAAAAAGCTATCAGTTTCCACATGAAGAGGAATCATATTTTGCTGGACCCAAGGCAAAAGGTAAAGTGCCTTTAAGACATCTGGGAAGGTTACCTTCTAGTGCAGGGATAGGCAACCTTGGCTCTTTTATGACTCGTGGACTTCAACTCCCAGAATTGCTGAGCCAACATAGCTCAGCTTGGAAACCTCTCCCTTTCCCCTCAGCATGGCTGGCTCAGGAATTCTGGGAGTTGAAGTCCACGAGTCATAAAAGAGCCAAGGTTGCCTACCCCTGTTCTAGTGGAACTTGACTCTGTTTTCATCTTATTACCTCATTAGTTTTTCTAATTCAGACCACAGAGAGATCAAATCACCCTTTTTAGTCAATGACTGGATCATTTTTATTTATATACACACAACCACACACACAGCCCCCCTTTGAAGTCCACGAGTCATAAAAGAGCCATAAAAGTCCAAGAGTCATAAAAGAGCCAAGGTTGCCTACCCCTGTTCTAGTGGAATTTGACTCTGTCTTCATCTTATTATCTCAGTAGTTTTTCTAATGCAGACCAGAGAGAGATCAAATCACCCTTTTTAGTCAATGACTGGATCATTTTTATTTATATACACACAACCACACATAATAACACTTACGTTCCAAGAACACAGTGATGGGGAATTTTAGGATGTGCATATGCTGTTGGTAAAAAAGTAGGAGAATACCGATAAAGATAATGAATAATTGCCTAAATTCGTGATTTGAATATGTATTTATCAATCGGGAATCAACTCATCTCATATTTTATTGTATTGTTCAATGCTTGGGATAACTTTATTAGTTAAAAGGAAACACAATATTTTTGTGCTGAATATTTCTCTGTGATGCCTTCAGAAATACTGACAGTTCCCAAGGTAGTCTTTATTTAGTGAACACAATTGGAACCAGCAATTTGGTCACTAACTAAAGCAATCCTTAGGTGAAACTACAACTTACGATCTTACTTCAGCTTTTGTTTGCTTTTTGACCTGTGAAGATCATAAACGTGAACAATGGTCATAAAATTACTTTTTCATCACTATTGTAACTGTGAATGGTTGCTAAACAAGACAGTCAGTAAACAAGAATTGCCTATATTTCTGATTCTGAAATGCTCCATAATACTGGTTGACAACTGGGACATTTGCCCCACTACTGTCCCAAGAATGCCATGGTAGTAATAGCTTGCCATATTATTACTGTACCCAAATTTTACTGTATGACAACATAAGAGGCTATGGGCTTACCAATTATAAAGATCTGATTGTGTTAACTTTGCTTTTCAACAATTGCAGAATCTCCTTTCCGCAGCTCAAGTGCGATTGTGTTATCTGCAGATTCTTGGAGACCTAAAACTCTATGGAGGGAAAGTCTTTAATGCCACGCTCATGGTAAATTTATGATTTCTAATAAAAAAGAAAATATGTAGTTCAGGGCTGAACTGTTGGGTTCTTGGTGCTCTCTGAAATTGGCTGTTTTCTTATAGATACAGGTAGTTCTAATTGGGACCAGCAACTGGTGCTAAATAGTTGCTAAGTGGGAAATTACATGACTGCAACTATGTTTTCCAGCTCAAAACTGATAAGATTTGGCTTTTGTTTGCCTTCCAACTATTCCCCACCCTTTGTATTGCTTGAGCACTTGCTAATGTCTTGTACACATCAAAAGCAATGTGATTGCCATGGGCACACTACATCAACAACTTACTCTCCCTTCCTTTCCAATCTCCTTGCTCTGCCGGGGGAGCAGATGAGAGGGGAAAAAAACAAGTGATTTCCATAGGCAATCTCTCTTTTGCCTGATCCTTCCCCCTTTTCCCATAAAGTGGAAATCACAAGGGATCACAAGAGAATAAGCTGTTTGATCTTCTACACATTGAAAGCAATGTGATTGCGCTAGAAGTCTGAGGCTGGAAGCCACAGGCATGCTATTCAAGCAGCTTACAGTACTGACTTGAAATCTCTTACTTTTCCATTTCTCCAGTCTGCGATGCAGGAGGGGTATTGGGGGGGAAAAACAATTTCTGTAGGCAATCTCTTCTTTACCTGATCCTTTCCTGCTGCCAGCGCAATCTGCTGGCTGTTTATATCTACACTCTGATAGAATTAATCAAAGAAGAAAAACTAGGAGTCAGGTACACCATTCAATGTAAGGATTGTTACAGCCACTATGTAGGTCAAACAGATGGCAGACTGCACCACAAACATCAAATGGCAGAAAAAAGACATGAACAGCGCTTTAATCTTGTAACACATAGACAGACTTGACTATAGCATATACTGAGAAACTGTTAACATTTTAGATCAAGCCAAATGCAAAATATATTCCTGAATATATATATATATATAAACAGCCAACTAACCCCACTCTCCTTTCCACTGATGGTGTTATCCAGCCTGGTAATGAAATGTCTGCAAGAAAACATCCAAGCTCAAAAAACATCAAGGACCCAACACTTAAGATTTCTTTTTTACAGCAAAATAGTATTTTTTTTTAGTGAATGTCTCAGCCTTTCTACCACTGTGTTCAACTCTTCAAGCTACAGCATGAAAGCCAGGTCATCCCTGTGATTTATGGGGGATTTTCTCAAGGTCATTGGGAATGTCATGATGCAAGGAAACTGTTTGAATCCTTTATTTGAAATAGCTAGGTCTTTGTCTTAAAATGACTTTTAAGACCCCTTGTCATCATTTGCACCTCTCACAAATTAGAGAAAACAAGGCAGTTATTTGATTGTTTATTGATTAGAATTGAACTCCTTGCCACATGAGCCAAAATTAAAATCCAATGATCAAATGCCAGGACACATGCACACATCACAGATTGAAATACTGATGCAATGACACAACCCAGGGTGTGGCAGTGTTAAGTCATCTATCACTGCTCGCATCAGAAGAACTTCCCTGTTTCCAGTGTGGTGTACAGATACCTTTAAAGGAAAAAAGGAGGATTGGCACGTTTCCAAAACAAAGGATGGCATAATAGTTAATGGGTTGAAGCAAGAGCATGGAGCTGTCACTCTTAGTAATGCTATTGCTCAGCTATTACTTTGAGCTGTCACTCTTATTTGCCTTACTAATAGAGATCTGGTATGTTTACAATAGGAGGGGAGGGGCATCTTGAATTCATGGAGGGGAGGCAAGATGAAAATAAAATAGTGCCCATGTGGACATCTCAGATTTTACACCAATAAAAAAGAATTCTATCTCATTGGATAGGTAGTTACTAGTGGGAGTAAGTGGTCCTGTAGATGCAAAAGAAGGGTTTTAAAACTGTTAGCACCTGGAATTGTGCTGGAAACTAGAGAGGTGGGGACAGAGAAGACTTTGTTTAGCCTTGCGAGAGTCTGGTCCAAGGTGAAAATGTTGTCCATGACTGCAGCAAGTTTCAGAAACACTTTTTGCTGTTAATGTTTAATGCGAGGCAATAAAGGAGAAGATGCCATTTGTGGTACACAAGGCCCAGTTATTTTAAGAGTTCTGAAATTCAATATCAGCGTTAGAAATGTCAAGCCACGTGTTTTTTTACTCTCACCTTGAAATAACCAATAACCTGCTTTTCCAGAAGTCCACGCATGACACTATTTCTGTTTTGCTTGGAAGATAAATAGACCTATCATAATCATTTCTTCATTTCCATTCAGAAAGAGGCCTGATGCTACCTATAGAGTCAGATGACGAACAGGCTGCTGCATGTTTGATGGGAAAAGGTTGTGCGCCTATATTTTGAGTCTCTGGATTCAACTCTTCACTCCATTAGTGCGTCTGTGTTTAGCAAGGGTCTTCAAACTTGGCCCTTTTATGACTTGTGGACTTCAGCTTCCAGCCATGCTGGCTGAGGAATTCTGGGAGTTGACGTCCACAAGTCATAAAAGGGCCAAGTTTGAAGACCCCTGGTGTATAGATAACACATAGGATCAACCCAGGAAGGCCTACCCTCTGAGGCCTTGAGATGAAGCCACTGTTCTCTTTCACCCATTTTCTTCCCAGGACCAGCCTTGACACCCTCCTGCCAAATTAACTAGTTAGCCAGTCACCTTAAAAGCTGTGAGCATTTCTCAGATCCACAAATTGTGAGGGGCCCACAGCTTGATCACGCCTATTAAGATGAGCTTCCTGACAGTTAGAACAATTAACCAGTGGAACAACCTGCCTCCAGAAGTAGTGAATGCTCCAACGCTGGAAGTTTTTAAGAAGAGACTGGACAGCCATTTGTCTGAAATGGTATAGGGTTTCCTGCCTGAGCAGGGGGTTGGACTCGATGACCTCCAAGGTCCCTTCCAACTTTTTTATTATTATTATTATTATTATTATTATTATTATTATTATTATTATTATTATTATTATTATTATTATTATTATTATTATTATTATTATTATTATTATTATTATTCCAAAAATGTTCAGCAAATATGTGGAAATAGTAATTTCCTCAATTGATCAGTAATATAGAAAAAACACGCCTGCTTCCCTCATCCAGTGCTGGAGTTAATAAATGAAATAACTGGATAATTTCCTGCTTTCCTCTCTACAGTATAGCATAAATGATGGCCAGTAAGTTTCATAAAAACATTGAATTATGTTAAAGTTAGCTGTTCGATTCCCATTTAGGCTTTGTAATGCTTTTGTAAACTTTTGGCTGCATTCATAACATATAATAAGCTGTTATTTGTATAACTACATATTTCTGAATTAATGGTGATTAATTTCACACATGTTAAAACATTTCTAAACCATTGTTGAGACAGCACAAGTATAAGCCTCTATTTTATACAGAGAGCGAGAGAGACATATTCTTTGCTGGGGGAGGGTCTACAGAATACTATTAAAAGAACTTCTGAGCTGATCAGAAATGTCTACTCAAGACTAGAGTGTATTTAAACATAAAGATATGAAAGTTCAAATTGTGTTACTTCATCTGTGTGGGTTTCTTTACATATCCAAATTAAATTGTATAGATATTGTAGCCATTGAATACATAGGCATGAGTTTGTTCTTTTTTAAGCTTGGTCATAAGCTGCTTTTCCCTCATGAAGCTACAGGACAGAGAGACATGCATTGTCTTGCTGGTGGGAGCCAAATACGGAATCAGTCACGTGCTTAATACCAAACTCAGCTCCGTAAACTTGCTGGCAGAATTTGCCAACATAAGCAGACTGGAGCTCACTAAAGAATCCGAGAAAGTAAGCACGGTGAAGATCTACCTCCAAGATATAAAGGTAAATATATTTCTTATCAATTTTGATGCATTAATCTGTCAGGAACATTTCAGCTCGTCATGTTTCCTGTCTTCCCTACAAGGTACTCACTGTGCTGCTGGAGTCCAAAAGTGCCAAAGATCTGGCTTGTCTCATCAATGGTTACTACAGAATGCTTGTAGATTCAAGCAGCTACATATTCACCTGGGAGGAGAGAAAAACTCAAATGCACCGGATCTCTGCCGAGGAAGGTAAAAAGCAAGTTTCCTTAAATAAGTAAAGGAGCGAGAGGAATCTTCCCAGCTTGATAGTACACCTGTTGCTAGAAATCCATGCATGCATTTAGCACGCTGGTGTCTCAAGTCTGTTATTTATTTCTTCACCATACAGCTTTATTGCCCCTTCATTTGTATGGGCAAAAGCAAAAGGGTTCTTAGAAACACCCTTTGAAGTGGTCATTTAGATGCATTGAAAGGATGTGGGAGATGTTTCTGTCACATTTGAATATGAATTCATCTAATTTCAAGTGCATAAACCAACATCCTAGTTGCCATTCAAGGCACAGTTCTCATAATTTTGCATGCTAGTCAAAATTCTCAGGTTTCCTATAGTTGAACCTGAGCCTACTTTCTCCCATCCAGATCTCCACAGTCTCCAGACACTGAGATGGACCCTCAAAGGCTGTCACTTAGAGACAGTCCCTGTTTATCCTTTGGCTATCCAAATGATGCTGCAGAGAACAGTACTCTGGATACGTTCAGAGGAATCCTTTTTCACATTTTAGCTGTACAGTCATCTTAAGAACCTTTTTCAGGGAGCTTTTATTTCAACTGCATTCTACGTTTGGTTGGAAGGAAGGTGCAACTCCAAGGAAACTTGTCTGTTTGTGTTTGCAGGATATGAATCTAGAACCTGCAGTGACTCTGAAGAATCTTCTGAGCCAGATTCCTCCTTCGACCGTTTCTCAGACACACATTCACCTAGGTACAGCAGTATTAGCCCCCCAATTGAGGAGAAAGGAGAGGAGCAAGAGCTGGAGCAAGAAAAGAAGACCCCAGAGGCCAAAGAAACGAGCTTTTGCAATGGTTACAACAGAAGCGATAGCTTTTCGGAAGCGTCTGACTCAGCCAACACAGAAAGCAAGGGGCTGAAGTCCAGTGGCTCAAGTGACTCTCTGGATGCCTTGGAAGAAGATGACTTAGAAGCATGCTCAGCAAGCAGGCCAGAGATTTTTCAGTTTTGTAACTCTGCTCTTCAGAAATTGGCGTATAATGACAAGATGCTTTTTGGTGCTGATGGAGACGAGGAAAGCAGAACATCACAAGAAAGTTTTTTTCCTTTCCTCCTGCCACCCCTGGTATCCAGTCCGGGTCTTCCACAGCCAGAAGAGGAATCCAGAAAAGAAACCGGTGTGAGTATTCTAGAGTCCAAGTTGGCCAAAAGCAACGTCATGGAGTACTACAGCCTCTGTGCCAATCTCTCCCCAGCCAGCAGTGGGGGGAAGAATACACAGAGTTGCAGCCCCGAAAGCTGCTCTTTGCAGGAGCCTGAAGACCATGAAAAAATCAGTGAGGGCCAGACTCCTGTCTTTGTCTTGACATCTCCCTCTGGCTTTGAAAAGACTAATTCAGATGATAACGTCTGTGATGCAACTGAAAGGATGACCCCAACAGAGCCACAAGCAGGTACGTAAAAAGAAAATCCCTAGAGTAACTCTGTTGTGGTATGAACCTCCCAAAGTCTTTTAAATAGGGGTGTTATTTTGACTGCTGTCTGAGCAATCCTTCTTGGTCTTTTTCACAGTTCACAGCATTGTTCACTGTGTCTTGCAGTGCTATAGTATCAATATGAGGCCCTTAGAATAATTAAAGTTGATTGAGTTGCTTACTGAAATCTAGCTGGCTATTACCTTTTCCCTTCATACTCAAAATACGCACCATCTAATTATTCCTTGTATCTGCCCGGTATTTTGTTTCCGTTTAGGCAAGGGTGAGAGTTAATGGCTATTCCACAAGACCTATTGCAAAGAAAATTCCAGTTCAGAGTTTCATATTACATTTCCTCCGATACTTTTTTTTCTTTTAGTTGCTAAAAGAACCAATATATGGAAATAAATTGTGGTGGTACTAGTTATGTTCATACAACTAACGGTGGTGGAATGATTATGTGAGAACACTTTAACATAGAAATTAACTATTACCACTACTAACTACTACTGCCCCTGATAGCAGGATTTTTCTAGTCTCTCTCTCAACTTTTCATCCCTTTTGTACCATAAAAAGATAGAAAAGTGGATGGAAGAGGATGGTGGGCAAGTATGTCTCCAACTCTGTTTGCAGTGGTGACGCTTTTGAGCTGGTCACAATACAGTACTTTTCAGTCACAGGGTGAGAGAGGCAGGACATTAGATCAGAGGTCCCCAACCTTTTGGGCACCAGGGACTGGTTCCATGAAGAGGTTTTTCCGCGGACTGGAGGGGGCATGGTTTTGTGTGCTGCCTGCATCCTGTGGGTGGGGCTTGTTTGTGCGGACCGGTTGCTGACATGCCGCGGCCCGGTAGTGGTCCATGGACCCAGGGTTGGGGACCCCTGCATAAGTTAACTCCTGGCATTTCCATAGTTTCTTAGCTTGTAGAAAGAAAGTAATAGTGTGTGTACCTTTAGATAACTCACACATAGCAGCAGCAGCATACATCTTTTCACAAACTATTGTTGAAATAAGATGAAAATAATTCTCTATATTGATGGGCTTTTCTTTATTTTTAGGTTCTGAAATTCCACCCCTACCTCGTTCCCCAGGGCTGCCATCCTTTGGCAGTTTGGACGAAAACATCCTGTCAAGGCAAAGCAGAAGGATGAAACCCAGGCCAGAAAAAGAGCCAACATCTGCTAATAATTTGAGGAAAAGAAGGTCCTTCCTTGAGACAAATTATACTTCCCAAGTTAGTTTCCCCAAAGCTTTACCCTGTGCCCTGGAAACCGATGTTTGTTACAGTAGAGATGCCACCCTTTCAGGAGCATCTGCTGCTGAGAGTTTACTGAAGGAACCCCAGCAAATTTCCAGGCTTCTTGAAGCCACACAGAAAATCCAGGTGGTCCAAAATTCAACCTCATCATCTGACGCAACAGAAATGGGGCAGAATTCATCAGGACCCAATGCAGTTTTGTGCCTGGCCTCTGCCCAGGCAAGTGGAGGAAGTTTAGACTCGAGTGATTACTCTTTAAATTCTTTTTATATGCCCCCCCACCAGAGTCACCATTTAAGTACACCAGAAATTGCTTTTCACCAGGAAGATCTTGATCCCACTTGCAAAGGCAAAACAGAAAAACTTACAGAAATAGCTAGAGGGGTTCAGGGACATTGTGAAGTAAAGGCAGAGTGTTCCGTAAAACAAGCACTTGATAAAAAACCGGGCACAATCAACCGGGTAAAACAAGCACTTGATAAAAAACCGGGTACAACTCCAGCAGGAGTCAGTTATGTTTTGATTGAGGAAATAATACACACTACCACCAAACCTTCAGCGTCTCTGAACAGCATCCAAGACAAACCTTTGTCTTTTGCCCCAGACTTGGACCTGGGTTCTCTGCCTGCAGAGAAAGATGAGAAACAGGAACAAGTTGTTTTAGATCCCTGCAAGAGAGATTCCGTCTTGTGTGAATCCAGCCAGGCCCTCGGAGACTTAAAGCTTGAAGAAGGTATCAGCCAATTGTCAAATAAGGGAGATGAGAAACATCTGGGGATTTCAAATGTAACTGAACTATTTTTCAACTGCAGTGATACATCAGGCCAAATATGCTGGCCCAATTTCAGTTCAGCAGCAGAAAATGCACAAATCTGTCAGCAAGCAGATAAGGAGTGCCAGGGAATCACTAGCCAAAATGGCCTGGGTGTTAATAATTTATCTTTAAAAGATGGGGTGATAAATCAAGTCCCAGCCCACTTATCAGCCATGAGTATGTCTCATAATCTGTGCCCATCTACTGATGTTACTGGTGACTATAAAACAGAGGGGAAAAACCTCAGGGGAGATGCTCTCATTACAGATTATAAAAATAAGAGATACAGTTCGCTAATGGCTTCCTCAGAGGAGAACACAGAACAGAGTGAAACTGATAATTCAGCTGGACGGAGTTACCCTTCCTTTGACAGACCCAGTGAGGGAAACTGTACTTCAGATCTATCCTTTCTGACCTCTGACAATGCAACTGGGGGTGCAGTGGCATTTAGTGATACAGGTCCACCAGGTTTAGTGAATTCTGAGGAAACATCTACACCCAGACCGAAACCAGAGAGATGCAGCTGCCAGTTTTCTTATGCAAGCTGTTTCCATGGGGTAGAAAATGAAGCAGAATTGGACTGCACCAAACCCTTTGCAAGTAGCATTTCTGAAGGACCCTTAACAACTCCACCTTCAACAAGAAATCCACTGCCTTCAGATTTTAATCCCACCAGGCGCCTTCAAGAACATACCTATACGAATGGGGGCCCCAGTGATTCTCAGAATCACAGATACCTTCCAGAATTACCTATCAAAGAACTGAGCTATATGAAAGAAAAATGGTCTGTCTTGCCATTCGACTTCTGCCATTTGTTAGGGGATGTGGTAGAGCTACAGGAAGTTTTAAGGTGGTCTTCGGGAAACCAAAGAAAACATCCAGAGGATCAATGTGCTGCCCTTTTTTCCGAAAACAAGAATGCCTTGTATGCGGAATCACAGAGATTGCTGTCTAATTGCCAGAAGATTATCAAAGCACCAGGGCCTTCTCCAGAGACACAAATGATAGTTCAAAAGACCTTCCAAAACCTCCTTCAGTTGACAGAAGTATGCTTACAGTTCACAGACTGTGGCCTTTGCAGTAATGGGCACATAGACCTTAAAACCAACCTGAGGGATGTTTTGTGTAGCTATCAACAGTTTTTGGAGGCATGTAGGCAAACCCATGAGAAGGATTACTCCAGCCTAAGCCTAAAACTATGTGTCTGCCAATATACGGCCCTCACGGCTTCCCTTTTCTGCCTTGTACAGCAGTTCATAGCTTCATCCTGCACATGAGATGGATTTGCTGTCTCTTCCTGCTTCTCCTTTCTTTGCACTAACAGTACAACTCTTGTTGAATTCATTATAAAGAGAGAATTAGCTATTTTGAAAACTTGCGTATTTTTTTGTGACCTTCTGAGTTGGCTTGATAAATGTATAACCCTGGGAGATTCTAATAAAAACGGGATGTGTAAAAGAATGGCTGAAGGAACTGAGGCAATTGCTTGGTTTCATTTGTCAATGGATATTAATGCTGAAAGCTTGAATGAAGTCAAGGGAATAAGTCTCATAAAAGTCATAGATAGCATGTTGATTCACATCCAATTTTACTTTTTTTCTCTCTTTCCTCTCTAAGTGTAGAAGGCAAAAGATCGATCTTTTCTGATTAACTGCTATGGATAAATGCTACTTAAGAACAGCTCAAAGAGAACGTTGTAGGTCAAACTGGACAGATCTACTGAACATATTATCTTACAGTGTTAGTATGTGCCAATTGGACATGTTGATCAAGGTTAATGAAACCGTACCACAGGTATCTGTCTTTTGTCTGGGACTCTTTCTGGTGTTTTAAATAAATGCACCTGGAGTAGGTTACAAAGATACATTTTTAAGAAGAGCCAGTGATGTGTGATTGATAAGATACTGGACTAACACCAAGAAAATCCAGATTCTTGTTTAACTAAGCCATGGAGGTTCACTTGGCAACTTTGGGCCACCCCCACTCTTTCAACCCAACCTATCTGACATGCCAAGGGTCATAGGCAGTGAAGCGTCACAGGCAGTGCGGTGGTATAATAGGATGTGAGAATAACCTTGGGAAACCACGAAGAAGTGCTGATGCACTTAATGGCCCTTCCTCCTGTTTCCCAGGGTTGTTTTCACAGCCTATTATAGGTGGTAACAGCTTTTCTTCACCCAGTTGATTTTATTTTCTATTTTAAAGGGATGCTCCCCTTTAAACAGAACACAACTTTTGAACAGTATTTCCCACTCAATTGCTGAAATTTTGTACTCACTGAAAATGAAAGTGCTGTATCTGTTTACCCAATAAATAAATACATAAGGTCTCCTGTATTTAGTTAATTAGCAGGAAGTAAGCTCTACTATAGTAGCCTTGCTTCTGAGTGCCTATGTAGGCTAGCACTCTAGAGCCTTTTATAACATTCCTATCCTTAATTTTAGAACACTCCTAATAACACAATTAGTCAACTCCACTGTGCTTGGAAGGGTAAATAATGGTGGCAAGGAGATTTAATCTGATATTAGAGCAATAAAGCATTTATTTTTTTAAAAAATTGACATAACCCCAGCTCCCTTGCCTATGAGTGCAGGAAAAGCTACCCATTTGTTTAATTATGAAAGACTCATTGATTGTTTTCAGCAAAAATTCCCAGCATAAATGTCATGTTTTTTAAAAAAGAGCATATCAGTAGTAAGTGCAATTAATTGTAATGTAAAACAAACAATATTTTAACCCTTCTAATAGATTCACCAAGAATAAGCAATGAGAGACCCAGTCTTTTCCCCAAGAAGTACAGTAAGCAGAAATGAAGATCAATGACTTGTTTACTCTCCCCACATGTCTATATACAGTAGTGCTGGAGTCAAACTCCCATAATTTACAACTGGAAATTGTAGTCACTGTAGTCCAAAATATCCAGAATACAATTGGGTAAAGGAGACTGTTGTAGGTTACCAAAAACAGACCAAATCTTGTTTTCTCATATTAGTATCCTGAATCCTTTTGTCACTTTGTGTCTTTGAAGATGTATCCCTTTCCAGGAGAAACTGCAACTTTAAGTGCCTCTTCCCAATTCTTGGTATCACAGAAAGTTGATAAGGCATCAAACACTAAAAGAAATGCATTGGATAATTATAAAAATGTCATGAAATCACAAGGAGGATAGAAACCAATCATGGCATAACAGAGCTTCTATAGAAACAGTAGCCATCCTCTGCATTTTTTAGACTCTTATTTTCCAACAATAAATTAAATATATTAATAAGGAGTATGCAAGATTTGTGGTCTTTAATACAGCACGACTCTTTACATTCAAGGCTCTCTCCTATTTGCTCCAGGTAGAGTCTACTGTTTAATGCCCATTTGCCCATATCTCATAAGACAGCTCTCCTATGTTAGGACTATATCTAATTAAGCCTAAAGAGGAGCAATTTCTTGAATAGTTCATCATGTGATATGACATTTTGTGCCCTAAAAAGTACAATAAACAAAAGTGAGCAACAATTCTGTAGAGAACTGTCAAGACTCCAAATTCCAGTGTGCACCAATCAACTGTACAAGAATTGTCAGAAAGGTGTAATTTAAAAAAAATGGACCAACACCATCCATGCAAGTTATCAGGAGTTAATTTGCAACAGCTAATTCCAGCTATAAATTGTATAGGAAAGCTGGTGGTAATACAATGCCTGCAAATAGATGGCAGAGAATTCTGTCAACAGGTGTGTGCATTACTTACCTTGGTTGATGGCCAAGGTTGTTGAGTGGTAATTTTTTGCATTGACGTTCTTTACCATGTACTCTTGAATAGGCAATCGTGCTGTCTGCAGATGTCTTTCCTGGGCAATTTGGAAAGTGAGTTTCTACAAAAACAAATTATATACACTAAAAAAGGGAAGGGAGGAAATGATTCTTTGGACATTTTTTTAAATGAACTACATCTGGCTATTAGATTCTTTAAAAAGCTTATGATGCCTATCCTCCAAACCCAGAAGCTCTATTTTAATTATATTAGCTAATTGCTCACTGGAAAATAATATGTGATAAGAGTTAAGTTCCTGCAGTTCACCACTAAAATACCACACAACTATTTCTGCAAGAATATCATTATAATATGTGCAATATACTTACCTTTTGAATGCTTTCATCCACCAGCCCTCCCAGAATATGTACTTTTTGTGGATCAACTTCCTCAAGAACTAAAATGAGAAGAACACAAATAAACATCAAGTAATAAAGGCAGATTGCATTATATCAATATCATCTTCATAATCTTGTTATGTTTTGCCTATCTATCACACCTTTAGGAGTCAGTAGTAAAGGCAAAGAAATACAGAGAACATCAGAACTGGCAGTAAAGGTATAACACTATTATGAGCATTCAAAATATACACTGTCACTCTACATGGGGCTACCTTTGAAAGTCAGTCAAAAACTGTAGCTGGTTCAGAATGTAGCTCTGGTAATTAACAGATACAGTAAACTCATGTAATACCATCTCCTGAGTAGGCTCTTGTAGTACCACAACTTTGAATTGCAGTGGCTCCCAGTATGTTTTTGGGTACAGTTCAAGGTGCTGTTGGTCACCTACAAGATCTTCATAGTACAAGACTGGACCTATGTGCAGGACTGCCTATCTATACTTATTTCTGCCAATTCCATGAAACCTGACAGACATGTTCTAAGTTCATTCAATTAAACAGTAACATCTACTGGTATCTCAGAGGCTTAACTTCTGTTGCTGTGCCTGCCGGTGCAACAATTTACCCCTCCGTATCCCAAATTCAAAAGGCCCGAATCCCAATGGTAAGTAAAAGCTTAGCTTTCCCTGGACACTGAGCCAGGAAGCTAGGAGAATCCAATTTTAGGGGATTGTTGCAGGGAATATGTGTGTTACCTGAGGGTCATGGGTTTCAGGTTTTATGTTTTTAACTTTCTAATCATATGCCAGGAAGTGGAGAACAATAATACAGATTGATTTTTTTTAAAAAACAAAATGTGGTACGTTAAGAGTGTGGGTGAAAACTTCATTAGTCTCTTCTCATAGTATGTTTAACCCAATAAGGCACAGGTGTCAAACTCACTGCATCACGTGACATGTCGTGACGTGTTGTGACTTTTTTTGCATTGCCGCAGCTGGGGTGGGTACAGCCTCCGCATCGTGCAACCGGCAGTTTTGACGCCCCTGCAATAAGGCATTAACTGCTCTGTCACTGATGACTTTGGCAGCACACAGTCCTACTAATTAGCTCAAAAATCACAATTTGGGGAATTTAGAATCTCTGTTCACTTTCTCCAAGAAATGCCATATATTGCAGAAGCATCTGCCCCATTACTGTTCCAGCAAGGTTCCACACTATTAACCCTTTTTCCATTTCCTTTTTCATCCAATCAGAATGAGGGAGCTTTCTTCTACAGTAGGCATGTCCAACCAACAGCCTAACTGGCATTGGACAGCTAATCATGCAGCTCCACAAGATTATAACCTTTAAATATTATGTGATTTATATATATATCAACTATAGTGTATATAGACAATTCCTCTTCACTCAATGTAGCCCAGGCAAGCCAAATGTTCTACACTGTATGGCTAAACTTGGTAGGCAATTCTGTAATGGAAAGGCTTCTTCTGCCACTATGTCAAATTCTCTGTTCTTTGAATACTTACGCAAAATGGGTCAAAATATGGGACTTAGGTGTTCTATAACACAACTGACTTGGTGGAATTAGTTAGGTCAGTTCTGAGGCAAATTTAACTCTAGGGGAGAGGGGCAGGGTAGTTGATCTTTCTCTGTGTTGCTACAATACATTAACTCTCCTTGAGCCAGTTAAGCATGCATTGAGAACAGGGTCATTGAGTAATATGTTATTCTACCTTAGTTCTCTGAATTGTATAGCGGTCTTAAAAAAACACAACTAAAATCAGAAAGACTGAAATAGAACTGCTGCCAATAGTGTTAGTCACTGCCTTGGTTCAAACCAAAATGTCCAGGTGTGCTCAAACATATTAAAATTATGCCTAGCAAAATTTACACAATATGCAATACAGAAGAACTCTAATAATCATTTCTATTTGACCCCAATTTCTCCTTGTCTGTTTTGTGAAGGGTTTGTTTTTTTCTCTTTCCCAGCTCAAATAAGCTTAGTCACTGGACTCTTTTGAAGAATTCTCCTTCCTCATTAAAAAAAATATTCTTAATTATGTTTTATCTGTCTGCGAACTTTGCTGTTTTCCAAAGCTTGTGGTGCTCTCAGCAAGCTTGCATTTAGCTGGTGATGTTATTTTGGGTAAATAAAACATTAAGTGCTGGTACTTGAGTACTGGCTATGAAAAGAACAATGTTATTTATAGATACCGTTTATACTATCATTTTCTCTTATCTCCAGTAAGAGTATTTCTGGCCTAAAGTGCATCAAAATAAACTACCATCTGCTTAATATTATAGATTGTTCTATTTTGAAATTTACACCCCTAATTGTTGGTATCAGCTCTTATTTTGCTCTAAAGGTTAATATTACATGTTAGTCCCTATTTTATGATATTCTTGAATAATATGGTAGAAGGTCTGTAGCTTCTCTTTAGGCAGCCTTTAGTGATTTTAAATCAACATTTCATTCAATTTTGAGACTTCTTCAGTAGGGAAGATTTAGTAGATTTGGTATTTTAGATTCAGTTATTCTTCCTAATCCAGACATTTTATAAATATTCTAGAATTAGGAACTTGATGTTACTCGCAACGCCTATTAACTTATCGTAGCTGCCTCCTTGTTCAACTTATACTGAATTTATAGGCAAAGGAATTTTCAGATCCAAATTTTCAGCTCTCTAGACTAGCAAACATGAATGCCTCACTCTTTTTTTTTTAATGGAGATGATTATTTCAAGGGTTCCAAATGGCCTCAGATGTTCACTTGATGTACTACTGCAAAGAAAATCACCTTAGAATACATTTCCAGAAGACTAACGTACAGGTAATTCCTCAACTTAAAACTGGTCATTTAGTGACTGTTAGAAGTTATGACAGACCTCCACAGAGCTACTTACAACCTGGTTTTGACAGCCTCCTGTCCCTCCAGATCCCATGATCACATTTTCGGCACTTGGCAACTGGCAACATTTGCAGCGTCGGCAACTCGCAATGTTTTTTTGTGGAAAATGGTGTTTACTTCTGGTTTCCAGCAAAAAATGCCCATTGGGTATAATGGGTTGACTTAGCAACCACAATGTTCATTTAACAACCATCATGACATGTAACCCTAATTCTTGGCTCAATTATGCTTGTAAGTCGAAAACTATCTAAAATGATCTTTCTTAAAACATTTAGGTAGTTTCACTGGGTAACAGGACAGTAGCAAGTGAAGGTTTTTAAATATCCAGGTGTAGTCCTTCAAGACTCAGGATCATGGAATGTACATATCAAATCTGTATTCTTAAGGGCTCAAAGAGATTCTTCAGCTATTTTTTTCACACAAAAGAAGTCATCTTTATAGCTCTATTCACTGAGCAATGCTTGGCTCAGTTGCTTATATATCTCCATTACATTCTTACCCAAATTATAGGCTGATTGTTGAGGAAATATTACAAACTAAGTCTATTAGAGCAGTGCTTCAAGCTCTAAAATGTGTATTCAATGTAATTCTAAGGCTAAAAGCTGGCCAGATGACGATTGAGGAAACAGCCTTGTTATTCATTTTCCAGCGGGTCGATCCCATTACTTTTAGCCAATAAATTCCAGTTGTTTTGGACTCTAGCAATTTTTAGAACATTTCTCAATTTCCAAATTTCCTCAAATTTATGGTGGCTGAGAGATATCAAACAAAGGCTCCTAGATAGTGAATATTAGAATGAGAGAGACCTCATTCAAAATTTATCCCATTACAGTTTAACCACCCTAGATGGATGTCAGCTAATTATGCTGACTCACCGTCTTCCCCATTTCGACAAAGGATTTTCTTCAGACAATAGTTGGCCTTTAGCATTTTTATATGGGAGATTTAATAAAAGTTCCTATAGCTAATCGGACCTGCCCTTGTGGTGATGGCTCCATGAATCCATCCATACATTCCTGTTAACAAGAAGATTCCATTTTCCTTTGTTGTTACACCCCAGAGACCAGACTGAAGAATCTTATATTATTTCCTTTCTATTAGATAGCAAAAGCCTTAGTATAAATAATATAGCAACGTTTTGCACAACAGCTGTGAATATGTACAAACAGCTGACTTCTGATCTATATGAGCAATATGTTCATACTTGCTCTACTCATCTTTGGAAATGTATTGTTAGATTTTAAAGTACAATTTATAACTATATATACTGCATTACTGTACAGGTTTACATTTTACTTAAGATTCATTTTATAGTACTTTTTCTTATTTTATAGTTTCTTTTATGTTATCTGATGTTAATTTTTAAGTATTAGTAAGACTCCAGTGCTGCATTATTTCAGCAGGGCTGCAAAAACCTTGTAACTTCGAGCCCTCATTCCACCAATCAAGACAAATTAATGTTTGGTTCCCAGTCACAGTATTTAGAAAAAGAGGAAGTGCATCAGCAAAAACCACAAGCCTAGATCAGGTTGGGCTAAGTTATAGTTACCCTACTAACTGCTATTCTTACTAAGGGCTGAGTTCACGTAACTGTTGCTCAGTTTGGCATATACGGCTGTTTGTCCCAGCTGAATGCTAGGCTATATGGCATTAGCTGACAGCTTATGAGGAGGATGTCAGATACGTGGAAACAAGTTTAATCAAGCTGATTTGAAACCTACATTAAGAAACCCCAAATCCAATTATTTAAAATAAGAACAACAAACTTTAAACAGCCCCAAAGCTGCAATATACCATTATCAGAATCCGGTGTGAGATATACAATCATGTCCAAAGGAAATAGGTCAAGATAACTTTCTGCAGTCACATCCATCTGAAAAAGAACGCAACATACGTAAATGGAATTTCAGAAAATCCTTTTAGAAAGAGCACTTGTGCAGGAATGAGTGTGCAATTTTGGAAATACAGGTCATTCTGACTATCCATTACTATTCTACTGAAAAACAGATTTTAAATCAAAACAGCATTTTAGCCCAATTTAAACCTAATAATATTTTACAAGTCTACTGAAGATATTAAACTACAGGACTTCTTAAAAGCAACTATTCTGTGTCTAGTTATGTTGGGACTGCAACTCTGGAAAGTACCAAGTTAATCATACAGAATATTATGGGAAAGGAAGGCAAAGCTACCAATTCTATGTGTTTTACCTTCTATTGATAAGAGCAATTTGAGAAAGAAGTATTTTCCTTCAGTGTCATCACTTGGAGAGAGATAAAACAGAGGGGAAGAGGGGAGATATACTTACCAGATAATTGGCAAATCCATCATTCATTCTCAAGCATGCTTCATAAATAGGACTGTTTTTCACAATCCCTGTGAGGTGGAGCCAAAAGGGCTTTTGAGCTTTCTTGTTGGACCCATAAAGCCGCCTAATCTGTGCCGCAAGCCGACTTATTTCCTTGAAGAAGAGAAAAAAGCCTCAGTGGTTTTTTTTGTTTTAGATGTTCTTCAAAAAGCTCCAGTATTATTCAGAGCTTTTTGTTGTTTTCAGTGAAATATACCAATCAAAATATAATGCACAAGATTAAAGAATAAAGCATTTAGACAACAAAGAAGCAAATAATATTGAATAATAATTAAAGTGAACTAAAGCTAAAGGAAAAAAACAGATTCATATAGAACTAGGCTAATTCTTTAACATATTCTTAAAGCTTGACCATATAGGACAGACATGTCAAACACAAGGCCCGGGGGCCGGATGCAGCCCGTGGTTTCATGTGGCCCGCGAAGCCATCCTGGAAACAGTGACGGAACAGCCCCCTCTGCCTTGGTCCTGGCCCAGGCCAGCCGGGAGCCAATGTACAATTTTGTGCTGGCCATCTATGCTGAAACACATTCAGTCTTAGCTCCATAAGCCCCCCCCCCGCATGGCCTGAGAGGAATGGTGAGGTTCCTCCAGTGGACCATGTCTTGGCACTTGTCCTGGTCTCACCCCCTTCTGCCAGAGACCCTCAGATCTGTCCCACTCCTGCCCAGGCCCCCACAGGCCCCCTTGACGCGAACGATGTAGAGCTGGCCACACCCACCCAGTAGGCCACACCCACTCCATCCACACACACCCAATAGGCCACACCCATCCTGGCCACACCCACCCGGCCCCCTGAGGGCAACCGCAATGCTGATGCGGCCCTCAATGAAGTTGAGTTTGACACCCCTGATATAGGACATATTGCCTCATCTTCTCATTTTGCATACGACAGTGATGGCGAACCTATGGCACGGGTGCCAGAGGTGGCACTCAGAGCCTTCTCTGTGGGCACGCGCGCCGTCGCTCCAGTCCTAGGCCTTCAGCTGGGTTTTATAAAACCTTTTCGCTTTAGGCCTCCGCCGCCGTGTGCAAAAAAAAAAGGTTCAATCAATCAATCAATTTCAACTTCTCGTGGGAAAAAAAAAGATCTTACAAAGTTGGAATTGATTGATTGAACTTTTTAGTCCCTCCCAGTCTGCTGTTACCACCGCAGCCATGCCCACCCAATGGGCCACACTCACCCGGCACCTGACAATCCATAAGTGGGTTTTGGGTTGCAGTTTAGGCACTCGGTCTCTAAAAGGTTCGCCATCACTGGCATACGATAAAGACAATTCATACTGGGAACATATGTTTGGAATCCATTTTTTAACAGCAGGACTATAAACTTCTTTCTAACAAGGCAGAATAATTCTCTGCCAAACTGTGAGTTCTCCATAAAATATCAAATTCTATATGAGAATTTGGAAATGTAGATCAACATCACACTTGCATCTTTAATTGTTAAGTTTCCACATCCCAATTTATATTAACATATTTAATAACTTAAAGTCAAACAAGAGTCATGGAGGGTCATGACCAAAGCTTATGAGTCCAAGAACTTGGCAGTTTTATTTCAGGCTGATGTAACTGCTCTAAATTTCCTACTGAGCATTAGCTGTTTAGAGAGCCAATTTGGTGTACTGTTTAAGATACCAAGCTACAAACCAGGAGACTGTAAGTTCTAGTCCCACCTTGAGCATAAAAGTAGCTGTTTGATCTTGGGCCAGTCACTCTTTCTCAGCTCTAGGTAGAAGGCAAGAATAAAGCATTTCTGAAACCTTGCCAAGAAAACTGCAGTTGCCAGGAGTCAAAATTGACTCAAAGGAACCAAGACCCCCAGTTTATGAGCATCTCGAAACACTGGACTTCATGCTCTGCCATATGTGACTGTAATACACATTTTGATCTTGCAACATTATCCTTGATAAATTTAATAAAGAGCACTTCTTCCATCTATTGCCTTTCAGTGGCCCTTAAGCAAAGTCTTCTCCATCAACTATTCCAAGAGGTAAATCGTACAAAATATGCTTAAAATCCTGCCAATCTCAATGTTTCCTTGGTTCAAGAGGACTTAGCCTTATAACTACAAGCAAGGTATAAAATCTCTCACAGAATCCGACATCCTTCATTCAACCATTTTCTTCTCCATGCATGTTGCAGAGGTTGAACTGCACTTCTAGAACTAACAAGTTACATTCCAGTCTGGGCTTAAATGTGCATGAAGCTTTCTATCGTTTTCAGGAGGAAAAATCAAATGCTCACTTCCACATTTCTAATTTTTCTAATTCTTCAGTCAATACTGCAAATAATACAACTAAATGCATCTGTCAACGCTGTAACATTGGATGTTCCTGCTCTGACAACTGATGGAAATTGCAGCCATTTTTATTTTGCTTTTAACATGGTTTTTCTTCTGTTTAGAAATTAGATATTGAAGGGGGGCTGGGGTAAATGCTTGAGCTCAGCTAGCCATAATAACAATGCAGCTCCGTGGGAAACTCAAGGACACAAACAGATAACGTTTTAGTGGGTTGAGGAGCTGGGAAGAGAGCCTGGCTCCTGGCTAATTGGAGAATGTGATTTATGACTGCTTTGTGGGGATGGGACTTACATTCTGTTACTTTGTATCTGGAGGAATGGAATCTAGTTTTGGGTTCAACTATATAGTGCCGATACTTTGTTTCCTGAATAAAATGTTCTTTGAGGAAGTTCTTTTGATGGGTTTCATCTATCGGAACCATGACAGCATCCTCTTCAAAATGTTGTGAAATAGGTACTGAAGAGCAGAGGCATACTGAAAATTAAATTCCATGTTTTTTTAAAAAAAGAGCAAAAATATAAAGCTACCTTGTTAGTCATGTGACTGGTCAAGCTCATATCAATACACAGCCGAGGCCCCGTAGCCTTGGCCTCTAGAAGACGATCTTTTGCAATGGCTTTTAAATCTCGCTTACTAAGTTGAGGAGCAGTGCCTGAAATGAAGAAAAAACAAATCATCCAGTTGCTCACTATTGAACAATGTTAAGCAAACAGGTGAGGCATAAGTCATGATTTTTCAGAGTAGCAATAACTTCTTTGAAAGGCACTTCAGTGCCTATAAATCAAAATCCCTCTAGAAAAAAATGTTGCCTAGCCTGCCCTACACTTCCTTCCAGGTGAACATTACTGTAAGGTCCTGCTTTAGCTAGCGCTCCCAAGAAAGTCATTGCTTCCAAAGGAACTTTTATTGAGAGACGGTGATAGCAAAAGAGCAAGGCAAGATCTGAAGAATTCCCGTGCAAAATGTTACATTAAAACTCTCCCTTCAAACCCCTCCCCAGCGCCCAATGGTTCAGTATGATTTCAGCCAATCCACAGGTGTGAAGTTGTTATGGGAATCGGAGTGATAAAGCCACAGTTCTCAGGCATTTCATTTTCGTCCGGGTCTCTTCCCAGCCGAGTAGAGATAAGACCGATGGCCCCAGGCACATTCCTCCTCCCTTTCACACCCAGAGAGATGCACCAAAGGTGACAGAACAAAGTAAAGGAAATGCATCCCAAAGCCCACAGAGCTTCGCCCTCACCGAAGAGTGAAAGACAGAATGGCAGTACCTGAAAACAAAAATGAAATGAATATATAGTTTGAGGATCTGACAATTACAAAATATTAGTTGTAGTAGAGAAGCCTCTTTCAGAAGACTGGTCTGCCATTATGAATCTCCTCACAGAAAATCTATGTAGAGTTCTGTGAAACTTTAGAGTACAGAAAGCAAACTATTTTTTATAGAAGACGGAGACAGAAATTATTCTGTGTTTCTTGTACCTTTTTGTTCAGCATGTTTCGCTTTACGTCGTTCTCTTTCACATTTTCTTTTATCCTTCTTTGCAGAAACAATCTTCTCCCAGTGCCGTTGTTTCCTTAGAACATTCCTCTTCATATATAAAAATAATAATAATAATCAGATACATATTAGGCAGAAAAGAATCCATTTGCAAAGATTTTCTTATCAGAACTTGATATTAGAGGTGCATATGCATTTGGATGTAGGTGAATATATTCCATTGATTAAACTTTTGCATATGTCCATCTAATGCAGGTATACACAGTAGCTATCTCTCCTCTTTCTTTTTCTACCTCTCACACATAGAAACTATTATACACAGACAGAAAGGAATACATAATTGTGTGCTGTGTTTTTTCCCAGATAACTAATAAGTGGCAGAATAGTTATGAAATATTTTTTCTGCCACTAAAAATGTTGGGAGTACAGTATTATTTGCTTAGTGCTTTCAGTCAATAGCAGATGTTATATGTAAATGGCATTTTAGCACACTGCTTGCCTTTCTAAATGCATAAAGGACCTTTGTGGGAATCCAGGAAAGATCTGCTGTATAAGTATTTTTATAACATTTGTATTACTATGATAGTCAGCCAGATGTTTAGATTGGATTTGGCATTTTTATCCATCAATTTAGGTTTTCCCAAGGACCTGCTTATTATTATTATGATGATTGGTTGCATAGTCAGCCAGATGTTTAGATTGGATTTGGCATTTTTATCCAAATCTATTGAATCTTGTCTTGTTGTTAAAGGTATCATCACAGGATATAAACTGTTCCAAATAAATCTGCCTTTTTGTAATTGAGCGATGGTGATTTTGTCAACGGTGTTCAAGTGGTGCTCCAGTTTTATTCTTATTATTAAAGGATCTTTAGGACACTGGTGCAGGGAAAGGCTCAGCTATTGTCAACATGACATTTTTTGGCACCACCTTAAAAACTTTCCATTGGCCCAGACATTTGGGAGCAAATCTGTTTTGATTCTTGATCGAATGTGTTTTGTATTGCTTAAATAGTTATGGTAATTTCCCATTTTCTTCATTTGTATTGATATCTTTTAGCTAAAGAGCAATAATGAGCTATTTCAAAACATATAAGTTTAAGGAAAAGTGAAGTAAGTGAAATGCTTGAGCTTTTTTGCTGTCTACAAACTGGGAAGGTGGAGATAAAAGGAGTATTCAATCACAATGTATAAGTACCTACCTTACATATCTACAAGTATGCCTTTAAACAAAGCCATTGTTAGCAAGACTTTCAAGCCCTTCTTCAATGTAAAATATGATCCCTGTGAAACACTGAGATTCACAACATGAAACCACATTAAAATCACCCCAATTTGCTTTTGACATGAATGGCTGAAGGCCATTTTACTTACCGAACACCAATTCTCATTTCCTGTCACCTGTTCACTGGATCTTTCATCATTCCCATCAATTTCCAGAAGCTCAAATGTGTCCCAGAAATTTTCCCCATCTCCATCTCCATAGTTTTGCTGCTGATCACAATAATCTCCACAAATACTTTTCTCTACTTTCTTCTCAGGATTAGTCATTGTTTTTTTTTCTTTTGTCCAAACTGCTGTGAAAACAGAAAAAATTATGTTAGATGCTGGACCATAGAATTTAATTGGCAGATACTAGCCAGCTACTGAAGCTGCTCTCATCCTAAAACAGAATAGTTTCCTTCTGTACTGACTGCAGATTCTGGCTAGTTTTCAAAAGAGCCCCAAGTGAGCATGTTATAGCAATCCAACATTGAATTGATAAGGGCATAATTCACACTGAGTATTCATCCTTTATACAGAAAATGGGAAAATGTGTGAACCAGCCTTAACAGGTGCTATAGCACGGAAAGCTAAGAATTCTGCATTGCCAATTCCAGATAACGTGAAAGAAGCCATATTCGAATTCAAACGCTGGCAATTGTGTAAGAATTTCTGAAGCATGCAATTCCTCCTGCCATATAACGTCTTAAAGGGATTTTTTCTACTTAAGAGTTTCTTAAGTAACATTGCACAAATAAAATCAGTGTGTGATCCAGAAGAAGATAAACAAAATATGCTTTATAACTTTTATGAATACGCAACAGCCAAATCGATTAAGTAATTTAATAGTCATGAATTATTGTTCAGACCAAACGTCGGTTACTCACCTCCCTTTGATACATTACGAAAAATTAGCTCCACGCTAGTTGATTTCCTTCACCTATAAGGAATCATCCAACGAGACTTCCCTCTACCGGGAGCGAGCTGCATTCTGGGAATTTTAGTTTTCATTATGGGCGACGGGAGAGGATTATCTGTTTCAGGATTGGGCGGATGGGAGGGTGCGTTTCTTTGATTTGGAGACGACGGGGGAGGAGCTTAAATTTGATTCGCTGGCCCTCCGTTCTGAAATGTCATCCTGAGTTAGATTTTTTCATGAAAAGCAAAAACAGTCTTTTCAATTCTGAAAACCTATTCTCAAATTTATTGTTTTTCGGGCCACTCTTGATTTCTTTTTATCTTTTGATTTTTTTAAAAAAAAACTTTTTAATTATAAGTCGCTCAGAGTCGTTGGAAATCAGGCGGTCTTTCTGTGATTTGATTGCCATTTCATGTATGCATCAACCATGCTTATGTTAAATACCTCACCTATATCCTAGAAAGGGAGGAGCAGAAATATATTAACCACACATTCTGAGTGCACGTAACTCCGTGAACCGTAGCTCACGTGAATAAAAATTAACACAATTTCAGTGTTCACATAATATGCTATGCTTCTCCTCTAAGAAAACATATTGCAGCCTAATCTGACAAGCTGCCACCTGCATGCTGTTAAACCATAGATAAGGATAGCCCGACTATTTCCAGAGGTTTTGTGCTTCCTTACAGATCTAGATGGTGCCATTACCTTCAATTTCTAACTCCCCACGTCCTTACCTCATGTAAACCATCTTAAACTGCCACTGCTTGTAAAAATACAGGATGCACCCACAATGGATTTAGATTTTTTTTTTCTTTAATGGGTATTTTCTGGGAAAGAAAAAAATACACAGGCGCACGCACCTAGCAGCACACATACAACGATTTTGGGAAATAACTTAAAATGTGTTCTAGAAGAAAAGATGGGAAAACAGCAGTTTGGCTATTGATCTGAAAGCCGCTTTCTGGAACTCCACTGTCATTCACAAGAGAACGATCCCATTAAGTGAAGCTGGAAAAGTGAGAGACTTGCTCCGATTTCTACCCATTGCATAACTCTCCCTTTAAACATTTCTTGCCATTGGCTACAAAGCCTGCAACTTCCCCCTTGCTGGCGCAGTTGATTTGTTCCTAGTGATTCTCCCCCCCCCCTCTAAGGTTAGAAAAGGGGGCGGATTGGTGGACGCGCTTTCTTCCGATCCGAGAGTAGAAGCCTGAAAGTCCCAAACTTCTGTTGTTGCTCTTTCTTTGGGAAATACCATAATGAAGCCGTTTCTCAACAGCCTCCTGCAACTCTGGCCGCGAGGATCTGTTTCGGCGAGTATTACCCTCAATCTAGCCACTTCTGCAGGACTTGGTCACCTCCAGTTAGCTTTTCTTGTCGAGCGAGAATTTTCCCCCAAATATCCCGTTGGCTCCACTTCTCTTCTGCTCTCTTCCCAACTTCCCTTTCAGATATGCGGTGCAATCTTTGGGAAAATCTTTCTAGGCAGAAGGAAACACCTCTTTTGCAACTTGATGCTTCTTCCAAGGCAGCATTTCTCAGCCTTGTCCACTTTAAGATGTGTGAACTTCAATTCTGGGAATTGAAGTCCACACATCTTAAAATGGATAAGGTTGAGAAACACAGTTCTAAGGGTTTGGCTGTGCTATAAAGGGCAGTACAAAATTGTGGCTGGGAGAAGACCTACTTTGAGTTGGGGAATTACCCAACTGTGATGCAGAAAGAGAGTCTAGGATGGGAATGGGCTGGGTGCTTTTTGTTGGGAATTAAAATGGCCACAGGTAAACACCACTCTCTTCTAATGACAGTATTGAGTTAAGGCCCACAGGTCACCCCAGAGTCTCAGAGAGTGGGGGCAATGAAGCAGTAGGGTAATGCAGAACGGGTTTTCCCCATTGGTTCCAGTTTGAGGAAGAAGTCTTGAATTGCCCCAGGCGATGTCTTCATTCTGGAAGAGAGGCCATTCAGAGCATAGTTGTGTTAAGGAACAGATTGTACCTAGTGATTATTGCAACTGGGTGAACTGTTTATTGGGAAACTGAATGTTGCAAGAGGTGACTGCATATTGCAAGTACTGTAGGTGTGACTCTAGCTAATAACTTCCCTATAACATTTTTTCTTTGGAAAAAAAGTTAAATTTGAGTGGGGGTCTCTGGGAGGTTATTAGAATTACCAAAGCAGATAATTAAAAGTGCCTGCAGAATGGTAAAAATGTATATGTGAAAACTCATTGAGGTCAAAACTCAAAATTTATAAATGTTATTTTTTGTGTGAATTTAATTATACAATTCAATAAAGCATGCCAATTTAAGACTTTGTGAAATTGCACCACTTAAATGTCGTTATACCTTCTGAATATACCTGTTTGCAGATTCAGGGCTATGATCAGGGTGCATACATATAATCTGAAAATTAGATACTTTACATTATTTATACTAGGGTGAGGAATGGGGAGGCTACAGGGACAACTTTAGTTAAAAGATTTTGCATAATTGAGACTCCACCTATTTAACCTTTCAACAGGCAGGATTTGGATAACGCTATTTTTTTGTGTGTGCCTGAATTATTTTCACTGCAGCTTTCATTCTGATCCATAGTCTACCATTTCTCTTTTCCATTTGACCTAAAAGGAATCTTCAGCATTTGTTAGCCTAATATCACAAATATCAGCTTCATTGCCAAAAAACAGATACAGTAAATTGTGCAATAAATCACTCCTAGATCACTACTTATTGCTAAAAGTATTTTTTTCACTTTATTAAAAAGCACTTTTTATTTTTATTTTTATTTGCTTATGTATGTTTTTTATCATTGTGTTTTTGGAGGGTCAGGTGTTACCATATTAAAAACGAGTTATATAAATAATAAAAATAAATGTGGGTGGGCTGCCAAGTGCCCATATTTGATGACATGACCATGGGAGCACTGCAAAAGTAGTAACTTCAAGGATCAGTCATAATTACCATTTGTTCAGCACTGTTGTAATTTCAAATGGTCATTGAATGAATAGTCATTAAGTGAGGACTAATTGTAGATGCAGTCCTCTAAATCTGTGCATTCATTCGTTCTTTGCTTCATTCTACTACTGTTTCTCGGAGGCCAGTTCTTCCAGCAACTTTGTCATTGGTGAGAATTTGTCCCATTGAGCTCCTGGAATTGTACAGACCTACTAAAGAGTTCCAGGCAATAAATAATGCAGTTCTAATTTCACTAAGCTTGGGGAGCACTGATGAATAATATGCCATATATACTTTATTAAAATGGAAGATATTCTATATTTCTGTTTGTAGCTTCTGCCACGAACCATGCCTGAGAGATTTGGGGGGAAACACCGAAGTGTAACCTCGATTCATGCATACAACACAAAAGAAGAAAACATCAAGCCAACTGAGCGATATCCAATGCCCAATAAGAAAGACTTACCACATGATATAATGGAACACCTGGAAGAAGCAGAAGTGAAGGTAAAAATCATTTGGAAAAAATCAGTTCATAGAAGCTTGTAGTATCTTTATCAACCTTCTTCAACATAAGTGCTCTTCCTATACACTTGACTAGAGCAGTGGTTCTCAACCTATGGGTCGCGACCCCATTTGGGGTCGATCAACCATTTCACAGGGGTTGCCAAGCAAGGCTGTCCGCCATTTTTTCCCCCTTTTCCGGCGGGTGCCTTACCTCCCTTGAGCTGGGCCAGCTGGTGGTCGGCCTGCTCCGTCTCTGCCGCTTGCCAGCTACGCCTCGGCCGGCGTAGGGGGCGGAACCACGCATGCGTGGCGCTCCCAGGCAGGGAAAGTCCTCGACTTACGACCGGTTGGGTAGTCCTCGACTTATGACTGGTTTAGTCCTCAACTTACGACCGGTTTAGTCCTCGACTTACGACCGGTTGGGGGTCGCGGCATTAAAAAGGTTGAGAACCACTGGACTAGAGTTTGATCATTATCAGATTAAAGAGAAGTTAATGCAATTCCTAAAGAGTTGCTTTGTTGGACAGCTGTTAGACAGTTTAACTCTACATCAGTGGTGGGATTCAGCCAGTTTGCACCATTTCGGTAGAAATGGCAGCTAATTTTTTGTTACCCAGGCCCAGAATGGACTTCTGGAAGCGGCATCTACACAAAGAACTGGTTGTTCATATATTTTAATCCCACCACTGCTCTACATGTGAACCTAATGATGATTAAAGATGAGGATTTGATATGCTATCTATTGCATGTTTCTTATTCAGCTAAGTTGCGTACTGAGGTTTAAAATAGGCACAACAATCAAGCTGTGGTTAGATGAGAAACAGGATCAGAAAGATAATACTTTTGTTTAGCCCTTTTCTACTCTTCCAGGCTAACTGATGCCTTTCATAGCATAGTGGAAAAGGGAAATGACAATGAATGGCTTGGTCAGGTGCTACTTATTTGTTGTCATTCAGACTAATATAGTAGCCCTATCATGCCATTTCAGAAACCCTCTATAACAGAGGTCCCCAACCCCCAGGTCGTGGACTGGCACCAGGCCACGGCATGCCAGAAACCAGGCCGCGCAAACAAGGGAAATCTCTGTGGAATGCAGGAAGCACATGAAACCACACCCCATTCGGTCTGTGGAAAAAACCTCTCTCCACAAAACCGGTCCCCGGTGCCCAAAAGGTTGGGGGCCGCTGCTCTATAAATCTCAATATCTGGTAACAGAAAACTCCCAAGGTGAAAGAGTACCTGTTGAGTTTCATTTCTCTTAGTTATTTTGCAGGTTTATTGTTTTAAAGCAAAGAATATTTGCTAGAATTTATTAAAAGCTGCCTTAAAACCGATCAGCTTATTTGTCCACATAGCCCAATATTATTTAGCTGGCATTTGCTTTCCATTTACCTGGGCCCGAATCCTTTACATCCTTCCACTGAGAAATTGTTTTTTTCTGCTTAAAAAGCCTCAGTTGTAAGGCTCAAGTCCTTATTTTGCTAGGATGCTTCATAAAGAGAGAATTGAGATTACTCAACAGTACCCTTGTATCTGAACCTCAGCTCATCGTTTCAAAGATTTGGCAAATATTGTCAGGTCCCAAGAATTTCATTCAGTTATTTA